GATGATCCTTTGCTGCTTGTGAACAGTAACTAGAGCCGTTACTACCCACAGCAACAAGAGGACAGACTTGACACAAGGAAAGAAAGGTTGGCTTCCAGAGCCCAATTTGCTCAGATAAGCAAAGTTTTTTTATAAACTAAGGAAGAAAACATTTTGGTACAACATCTTTCACTGGGCTTTTGTTACTAGAATTGATTAGAGTATTTCTTTTGGCTCCAGTGCGTTTTCTGGTGAGCCCTTATGTACATCAACATTTCGGAGAGTTTCCATGCTTGATCACTAGGAATTCACAAAGCATCCTCTAGAAACATCTTTTCTAACTGAATAAGCTCAAGGAGGTCTTTGTTGGTTGGAGCAACACTTCTAAGGATACTGGGTACTGAAAGCAACAGAGTGCAGAAGAATCTCTGATGAGACTCAAATTCAAAGCATTTCTTATTAAAATCCAGAGCAATCCAAACCTGAGTCACAGATGCGTTTTTGTTTTTGTTTTTTAAGAGGATGGGGACTGAGGAAATCATGAGTAGAACCATCCCTTTACTTCACATTTTTGTGCTCCAGAGAGTCATCTTTCCCCTTGCACAAAGGGCTTTAGTACTCAAGATTGCCCCACAGCCAGGAGAAGGTTTCTGTGATAGTGTCTCCAGCCATATCTGACCACAAAGGTCCCCAAAGGGCAGCATATCCTGCATGTTCACTCAGCCTATTTTAATAGCTGGAGAATTCCACCTATTTTCCAACTCAATTCAGTCTCTGACTACAGAAATCATACCAGCTCAACATCTCGGCCTGATTTACAGACAGTTCTTTATGCTGAAAAGAGAAGACAAGTGGAAAAGCAGCTGAACAAACAGCAGTCCTAGGGATAAGAAACAAGGCAAAACCCAGTGGGTTTGACTATAACTAATTGCATCCCTTGTCAGCAAAAGCTCGGGAAAGTCTGATGTCCCATGTGTAAGCACCCACCATGCTTCTGCATCACTAATTTTGAATTTTCTCTTTTCAAATCACCATCCCCTGTGTCAACCTCAGTCTGCTTTTGTTACTATTGATGCTGAAAAAATTCAATAGCCATTAACCACTAAACCTAGACTAGCAGGAGCCAACTGTTACCCATATAGCTGTTTCCAAAAAGACAAACAGCACGAGGAGGCTGACAGATTTTAAGGGCTGTTTCATGTGTTCTACAGCAAAGAACAAAGCAACTTGCCTGACAATTTGCCATGAGTGTTTTTCATTAAATAATGATCACAAAGCCATTTAGCGTTCGGCACAAGCTTGTATCTGACTGCACGCTCAAACAACTTACCTGTAAATCAAATCAGGACTTCACTATCAGAGGCAGCAGGAGACACTCAGTGTCTCCTTCTTTATAGAGTCCACAATTTCACTTTTTCCATCATAACTTTGACCTGAACACCTTTTTTTTTTTTCTTCTCCTTTTTCTTAGCACTCGGTCTCTCATGGTGAACACAAATAGGAACAGAAAGGAGTCATGGCTTGTCCCAGCAAACTTGTAGGGTAAATACCCAACACAAAATACCAGCGAGTACTTCACACACAGTGATCTGAAGCACAGACCATTTGATGGTTTACTAGAGATCAGCCTGACTGAATCAGTGGCTGAACTGGAAAACAGAGTTTGGACCATCCAGTTTTCAGGAGATGCTTTTACTAATCTCTGCAAACAGGTTTGCTAGATAAAGCAAACAGCTGCTGATCATCCAACATTGGCTTCCACTCAGAGCTACTCATTGTGCTAAAAAAATTTCAAGAAAATGTCTCATTATGGGACTACTATGAAAATTTAATATCCACCCAGAAATAAGAAGATTACTCCATGGCTGTGAATACATCACCCTGAAAGCACATCAAAATCTAGTAACTACACTAAAAGCAATGTCTCGCTCTCTTGATAGTAGAGAACATTTCCAGTCACATTTGGCCCCATTATATCAATTCTGTATGGCTTTTGGACACTCGACCCAGCAAGCATCACAGGCTTTTACTGACAGTTCTCTCAAAAATCCACTCATCTAGAGAAGTGTTGGCCATAGTTGGAGAGATGATTGTCAGATAACTAGGATTTGTATTTTTTTTTTAAATCTCTTCTTATTTTTCAAGACTTTGATCACTGTGCCACACCATTAAGTTGTCATTAGCAGTTGATAAAGCTCCTGTTCTGGTCAGGAAGCCTTCAGACTGTAGAGGAGAAGATAAGCCCTCAATGCCACAAGGAGAGGTGGGTTGTATGCACTAGAGAGAGAATTGAAGGTGTACAAAAATAACTCCTGCAATGGAGTTAGTACAATAAAATATCAGTTCTTCAACAGGTTGTGTGTTTGCGAACTGCAGAAAGAGAGGCAAGTTTCCAACTACAGCTTTGGCTTATGACCTTATAAAACGTTGCACATACCACCACTGTTTCCTTTCAACTTAAGTCTACACAGAATAAAATCTGAAAGGAATCAGTTCAGATTTGTCCCTGGAAAAGTCAGATACTTCACTGTAACATCAGCCCAACTGCAGCACTCCACCCTGCCACGAAAGCACATCACTGTCTGGAGATGGAGTCCTTACATGGACAAGACCTTCCTCACAATAAAAAGAAGCAATGCTTTGAGGTTGCTAGTAGGCACCTAGTCTCCAAAACAGTCACCTACAGGTCAGGAAAGTACTGGAAAAAGAGACTTAGCCTTCTATAAACCTCAAAGTGAATATCCAAGAAAATAAAGTTAGTAGTTTCTGCAATTTTACTAGTTCAGCTTGTTCAGTCATGACAACGCGTTAGAGTTCAATCTCCAGAAGGGATGCAAGGAG